TTTGCATATTCCCGTAGCACACAGATAAATAAGTATGTCATAAAGACATTTTGAGAGGCTTGAGACATGGCCCAGAGGTTATTAAGAACACTGGCTGCTCTAACAGAGGAGCTGGGTTCAGTTCCCAGCACCTACACAGTTGCTCACAACCATCTATAACTCCAGTTCCAGGACATCTGACACCCTTTTCTGGCCTCTGCAGGCATTTCATGTATGTGGTACACATACCTACATGCAGGCAAAACATCAACACACATAAAATAAAAATAAATAAACCTTTTTAAAGTCTTTATTGCAGACTTTAATATAATAGTAGCAGTACTGAGCAAACCAGACAGCACTTATGAAAATAAATTAAGATAAAACCAAAAACAGGTTCCAAACAAACCTCTCTGTTGAGATATAAACTGTCTATTAGAACATTAGTGACCATTAGGAACAGGATACAAACTGATCCAACTGGTGCAACCTGGGTAACACAGGAAATACTAGAAGAAAAGGTCAAGCACAAGCCATTCAGATTAGGTCTCAATTCATGTTGTTTAAGGTACTGATCTGCTAAAAAAAAAAAATTGTACAAACTTTAGCCTTACCCCTGACCCTCTGATGTAAATGCACCAACTTCCTAATCGTTTTCAAGGAAGATTACTTTAAGGAAAGCAAAACAAAGCAAAAGCAAAATGTAAATTAACCCTAAGCAAGGGCAGAAAGAATAGAAGTGCTAAGGAGCAGAACTGAAATCTCTACCCTAGCTATTTGGTAAAACTACTGGGTAATTTAAGATGATCAAGCCACACATAGATCCCTAACGATCCATACACACTTGGCATGGAGGAATAAAACCAAACAAACAAACAAACAAAAAATCAGACTTTAGGAGAGAGAAAATAATTCTATTTAATTTAAAAAAATAAAAATAAACAAAACTCAGGAAGCACTAAACAAGATGAAAAGGCCTATAACAATAGCTCACAAGGAGGAACAAACAACCAATATGGAAAATATTGGGAGCAGTGGTCTAAAAGGAAGCATTACAGAAACTCACAGACATGTACAGGATCCCTAAGCAAATAGGACGCAAAAGGTTACAAATACAAAAGAAGAGAAAGGGAAATGAGGCTCTCAGGCCAAGTCAGATAAACACAGTTTCAGGGCAAGAAAGGGAAAGCAGATTGCAGTAGAGCAAAGGATGCAGCTGGGCCAGCAAGCACTCAGGGAACCTGCATCACAGAAGCAGAAAACAAATGACGCTGGGCACCCGGAATTAGCAAGCAAGTGCTCAGTCTCCAGCTGCTCTTATCTTTTTGAGGTTTCAAAAGAGAAAATCAGATTGACCTACTTCTATACTCCAATATAAGAAAGACTATTTTGTCACTGAGCTAATTTTTTTTAGGTTAAATGTCTAGTTCTGTTTGTTTTGTTTTGAGATTATCCACATACCAACAGGAGGGTTCCCTTACTACACTGCCTTTGCAAGATGAAACTATTTAGTACAAACCACATGCTATGTAAAAAGGCAGGGGTGAGAAGGACCAATGAACTGAATCAATGAAACGTTTCACTGCTTAATGGAAAGAATGGTTCAAGGTTCAGGAGCATGACTGAACAGGCTATTAGCATGACTGTCTTTTCCCTTTCAGTCTAAATCGATGACACAGAGTGGAGAAATCAAATATCATTAAATCCAAAACTGTCCTCCAACATCTTTCTACAGTTGCATTGAGGAAGATATGTGAAGGCTTTAAATGAAAATACACATATAAATAGCTCTATGACCAAACGTATCTAATCACATCATTTTTCTATTTTCACTGAAAATTAAACAGAGCTGACACATTTACACCTATTTTTTTTTTCTTCCAAGTTTATCTTCAGTCTTTTCCTGGGCCATTGCGCTCACACTGCAAACACATAGGAACTCTGGTAATCGGTGACATCTTAGAGGAACAGATAATATAAGTTCTTAAACCATAGCTGAAGATTAGAAGAACACAGTTTAGAAACAAAAGCTAGCAGCCTACTTATCTGGTTCAGGGTCTTACAGGAATAGCTGACAGCTGCAAACTCACAGTCCCACCAGAAGAAGTATGACTTAGAACAAACCACACACCTTCCCAAGTCCTCAAGAAATAAAGATGTAGATGCTTCCAGCCATGGCTAGTAACTGTACAAGATGATGAGTTCTACAAAGGAATCTTTTATTGGGAGACTTGTAAAATTTAAAAATGGAGAATATATATAAACAATTTAAAAAATACCTATTTTACTTATTATCATTAAGTTTATTAATAGATAATAAATTGATTAAACCAAGGTAGCCACCATGCAGGCAGACAGAGTACTACAAACATCAAAGCAGGCCCAGGCCTATGCACTTGCTATATGCCTCTCCCTAACCATTACCCCTCTTCTCCCTCCTAAATAACAGATAAATGGGGGGGGAGGGTCTGATCTTCTGAGATACAGTCTCACTAAGTAGCCTTGGCTAGCCTTGTACTGGTGACCCTCCTACCTCAGCCTCCCAGGCACTGGATCACGGGTGAATACCAGCACACTGGGGTCCCATGTTTAAGCATCACCACACTGAGGTCTCCTACAGGCGTGTGGTGTTTCTTCCACTCCACCATCTGACAGACTCATATCGTTGTGCATTCTTTTCACTACTAGTCGATATGTGAGTTGCTTCCATTTGAGAGACTCCTCAGCAATTCATCTATGAAATTCATGCACCGATACTAAAATTCTCTAGTGATTCATCAAGGATAGAAGCGCTGGATCCTTAACTTCACTGGAAAACAGCAAACAACTATCCAGAGTGAACGTATCAACATAAGCAAACACCAAATGGGTGAGACAGAAATTCACCCCATAATCACCAGTCCTCAAAAGTTAGGAGCTACACTTAGAAATCCTACTTAGAGACCAGTCATAAGCATTCCTCTCTCAAAGCCTCTGGGCTTACTGGCTTGGCCTGGAACACTCCTCTGTATATACCCACAATGCTTCTTCAGGACTTTAGACAAATGTTATTTTCTCAGTCAGACCTTCTCTGGCCACTCTAAGCCCTGCCCCACTGATTCCTACCCCAAGCAATTGCCATGACTTTTTTTTTTTTTTTTTTTGGCTTTTCAAGACAGGGTTTCCTTTCCTGTACTCGCTCTGTAGACCAAGCTGTCCTTGAACTCTCAGAGGTCTGCCTGCCTCTGCCTCCCAGAGTGCTAGGATTACAGGTATAAGCCACATTGCCGGACACCATGATTTAATGTATTAATTTACTTAAAAAGAACAGTACTAAAAATCAGACTTGCTCTACGGAGAAGAGCCTGTACCTGGAGGATACTCTTTAAATTTTGTAATCAGGGTATCAAAGCATATACTGAGACTCATGACCAAACTTTGGGCAGAATGCAGGGAATCTTACAAAAGAAGGGGGACATAGAAAGACCTGGAGGGGACTGGAGCTCCACAAGGAGAGCAACAGAACCAAAAAATCTGGGCCCAGGGGTCTTTTCTGAGACTGATACTCCAACCAAGGACCCTGCATGGAGATAACCTAGAACCCCTGCACAGATGTAGTCCATGGCAGCTCAGTCTCCAAGTTGGGGAACAGGGACTGTCTCTGACATGAACTTAGTGGCTGGCTCCTTGATCACCACCCCCTGAGGGGGCGGGAGGAGAGCAGCCTTACCAGGCTACAGAGAAAGACAATGCAGCCAGTCCTAATGAGACCTGATAGGCTAGGGTCAGATGAAAGTGGAAGAGGACTTCCCCTGTCAGTGGACTTGGAGAGGTACATGGGAGAAAATGAGGGGGGGGGGATTAGGAGGGAATGAGGGAGGGGGCTACAGCTGGGATACAAAGTAAATAAACTGTAATTAATAGAAAGAAAGAAAGAGAGAGAGAGAAAGAAAGAAAGAATCAGAGAATGAAATATAACTCAGAGGGAGACCAACAGAGCTGCTCTGCCACATGTATGAAAAGATAGGACAGCTCTTCTCGGCATCATGCTGCAGTGAAAAGCCAAAAACAGAGTGGAGAAGAGATAAGAGCACAGCAAAGACATGACAACTGCAATCTTCCAAGATGGAGGTAACAACCTTGAAAAAAAAAAAACAGTAAGCAGACTACCAAAAAATAACAAAGGATTCAACCATGTGCCTGGCTTTAAATTATGTAAATAAAATGATAAGAGAAATAACCAAAATCATAAGCCAATGAGCATACCTGCTGGGCTAGACTAGAATTTTTACTGAATTCAAGCATTCATGCAGTACCTCTTGTTGCCAGATACTCTTCAAATAATTACACAACTGACTGCATTAACCCACATGCAGAACAGAAGCTAATTTAATTGTATTATTTCAATTTTTTCCTCCAAGATTTTTTAGCCAAATAGCTGATAAGAATTAACTAGCCACTTTACCTCCATTTTTTTCCTCCTGTCTTGAATAAAAAGTGTTCATAAACTGTAATTAAGCAAAGTGCAGGTAACAAGATGGAAGTACTCAGCTGACCAGTAAATTCTCTTAGGGTTTGAGCTCTTGAATAGTCAGACTGGAACACATTTGCAGGTCGACATCTAAAGGAGTTGTGTTGTATGCAACATCAGAACACAGCACCAGACTGAATCTTCTGCTTCAGGCTCACACCCTCAAATTTTTTTCCTTCTCAGAATAGGTTCATCAATTATTATTCTTAGTGTAGTGAAGGCATTCAAAACTATAGGCATGGGCCAGCAAGGGAACTCAGTGTGTGAAGGTGCTTGCTGCCAAACCCGACAACTACGTTCTATCTTGAGACCCACATAAAGAATATGAAAAACAACTCCTGCAGGTTGTCCTCTGACCTGCATATGTGCCCTGTCATGGCACAAGGGCGCACATGCATTCGCACGCGCACACACACACAATCTAACATTTTTTCATGCAGTTTCAAAAGTGACAAAATGTCTGCACAACCTTCCCAGCACTAATCAGCAAGCACACTGCTAGAACTCAGACCTGCAGAGCTCAGGAGGACACTGAAGTCTGTCCCCCGCTGGGACTCTCCACTTCCACCATTAACTTCCTTCTCAGTATCTTGATATCGATCCCAGTTGGAGACGATCTTTCTTCTAGAAAAATTTCCTTGCTCGTCATTCTCTTCTCCATAGGTCTCTGAATCACTGTCATCTTCCACCTGCAATCAGTAGAGGCAAATCAATAGGCAGGCAGTGGAACCCCAACCCTAAAAGTCTTCACGTGAAATAAATAAAATAACAGTTCATAGGTATGACACTAAAAAGTCAACCTGTAGACCAGGCTGAGAACCTAAGTAATAATTCCAGAGCCTCACTATAACAGAGCATTATCTCAGGGTAACTTTCTAATAACTAATGTAAGGGAAATTGGGTACAATCTGCCTGAACTTACCCCCCTGTATAATGGCAGTTTAATCTAGTTTAAATAATTGAGGCTATAGGACTATTAAGACTTCAGAACCAGAACCTGGCAAGATGGCTCAGAGAATAATGGCATTTGATACACAAGCCTGATGACCTGAGTTTCATCCCTGAAACTCACAAAAAGGTGAAAGGAGAAATCAACTCAATGAGGTTGTTTTCTGACTTCTATATGTGTACCACGGCACACACAGTGCACATCACACACACACACACACACACACACACACACGGTGTGGGGAAGGGAAGAGAGGGAGGGATTGAGGGAAAGAGGGAGGTGTGAGTGTAGGTACACAGTGAGGCTAGGGTTGATTCTCTCCTTCCACTGTGGGCTTTAGGGACTGGACTCAGGTCATCAGGCTTGTGTGATAAAAGCTTTCACCCTCTGAGCTTTCTCAATGGCTTGCAATTTATCTTCATAAAATTAAGTCATCATTTTCTAAGTATATTGTAGGGTTTCTTACAATGTACAGTTCTCTGCATGTTTTCTTTTAATGCCCAAGAATGCTCAAGAATGCCTGAGTTGAGTTCTCATTAAATCACATTTGTGAGGTACATTATGATGAACAATATGAATGTTATGTGAGAACAACAACAAAACAACAACAACAACAATAATAATAATAATAAATAGAATGGGGTTGGCTCAGTGGTTAAGAGCACTGGCTGTTCTTCCAGAGACTTGGGTTCAAATCCCAACACCCACATGGCAGTTCATAACCATGTATAACTCCAGTTACAAGGAATCCAACACCCTCTTCTGGGCTCTGCAGCCACTGCATTCATGTGGAGCACAGACATATATGCAGGCAAAACATCTATACACATTTTTAAGGAAATAAAGAAAATTTTTAAAATGGCAGTGGAAGAGAGAAGGGAAATAGATTAAACAAACTTAATGCACTGGTGTGGGTATCAGTGGCAGAAGGTCCCGGATTCCAATCCCAGTACATCAACTCAACCCCCTACCCCTGCGGGGAGAAGAAGAAAGTCTTATTGGTTTTACAGTGCAAGGTTGGGAACTTATCTATACTCTGATTCAGTCCAGCCAGAGGAAATAATCACCCTGAAAATAACAGAGAGAATGTAAGGAAATGTAAACAATGACTAGACGTTTGATGTCATTAAGAATCAACTGATAATACTACTTACTGTTGGATGCATTTATATTGTGAAGTTTTAGTTTTCTCATGCATTAGGTACAAATGTTTGACCATAGGTAAAAAGATATTATATCTGGGAGATAGTTCAACATAGTGTGTGACGAGGAATGGCAGCCAAAAATAAATTACTTACGTGACCATGGCTGAGGTAGAGTGGAGAGTAATGGAAATTCTTTATACAGTTAGCCTATGTAATGTTGCATATTTGAAACTTTACAAAATAAAGTTTTTTTTCAAAGGAGAGATGCATGTAGGATCTAAATACATAGTTCAAAAGAGTGTCCAAAAGATTATAATATTCTTATCAAGAAAATAAATTACTGAAATATATTCAAGCCAACCGTTTATACAGAAGAGTTACTCATGAATTTTTTTAAATCCAACTAGCTAGGTGTGGTGGCACAGACTTGCAATTCCAATATCACCATGAATTGGAGGTAGCCTAGATTACAGAGTAACACCTATGGACAGGTATTTGTGGAGATGGAGTCAGTTTTCTCTACGGGTATGGGTCCTGGTAGGCTCACATGCTCCACTGGATGGCATCACTATCAGGAGTATATGGTAGCACTAACTGGACTCAATGAACTATTAGAGTTGGGGGAGAGAGCAGAGAGGTGGGGGAGGATCTGGAAGGGGTCAGGGTCACAATCAAGAGGTGAATATGATCAAAATATATTATGTGAAATTCTCAAAGAACTAGTTACTTTTTAAAACACTTTGCAAACACAGAAACAGGGCATTTGCATTGTAGAAAATGATGAAGACAAAAACTAAGATAAATTTTAAAACCTACATTAGGGCTATTGGTGTAGTACATAACAAGAACCTACATTCAAAATCCCCAGAACCACCTGGGAAAAGAAAAACTCATCACCGTAAATGTAGTTTTTATTTCCTCAGAAGAGGGGATGAGATGGAAACCTCACCCAAGCTTTAAAAATACATAGCTTGGGCTGAGCCCTCACATTTCTATCTAATTATCCCAAGGCCCCTAGAATCTTCTAGTCTCTGTACAATATAATTTTCTACAAGCCCAGACCCTGAAGGCTTCAGCTTCTAGCCTCCATCTACTAACCTAAAACTAGAATGTTTTCAGCTTCTGAGACTTACTGCTGAATAAGCTCACCCTTTCTAGTTCTTTCTGAACTCTTGCTGACTGGTTCACCTCAGCTATTGTGGCGCAAAACTCCTCTCCAAGCTGACTGATTCAAACTGGCTTCTCTGCTTCTCACTGAATTGCTCTGCTTAGAAAAAACTTCTTCTGAGCCAAGCATGGTGGCGCATGCCTTTAATCCCAGCACTCAGGGAGGCAGAGGCAGGTAGCTCTCTGTGAATTCAAGACCAACCTGGTCTACAAAGTGAGTCCAGGACAGTCAGGGCCACACAGAGAAACCCTGTTTGAAAAAAAAAAAGAGAGAGAAAGAGAGAGAGAGAGGAAGGAAGGAAGGAAGGAAGGAAGGAAGGAAGGAAGGAAGGAAGG